TAACTATCAAAGTTAGTGACCCTTCCCCCCAAATTAGGATGCTAAAACAGCTACTTATATTTAACCTTTTTAAAATTCAGAGTGTTGTTTCAGACTAGGCAACATTGCTCTGACCTGAGAACTTAATTTACAAATATTTACTATCAGGTTCTACTCCTACACCTGGAATCAGCATTTTAACCAGATTCTTGGTTGATTCATATGTAAAGTTTGAGAAACACTGTACAGTGTTTGTGTTGGATTGTGGAACAGTGGAAAGCAAACTTATTCTGAGTTTCCTAAAATGAAATTAATGTGACTTTCTTTCCCCACGCTGTATTATCTTTTTTCTTTAATTGGCTTTAGTCTGAAACTGAAGTTTACATGTGCTTCAGAAGTATCGTATGTATTAACTTTGAGATGGCCATATCATGAAGCAAGGCAAATAGAAAATGAAGGATTTTCAGTAAAACCTTGTATTTTTTTCATGATGTAACTTCTTAGAAAAGAGCATAAAACTTAATGTTATAAAAATTAAACCTAGCTCATAGCACTGAATTTACATTAGTCTTGTATTCCAGCAGACTTAAAATTCAAGTCTAAACTAAGATAGAGCCAGGAATGCTCTTTTTATATTAGCTTATCTAAAGCATTAATTTGGTTCTTACTAATAATTGTGAATAGTTACGGTTAATGAAGTTCCAACCTGGGGAATAAACTCGCTTCCCTCTGTACTTAATGGTAATTGTGAGGAAAGAGAGGAATGGAAAGAGTACTCAGTGATTGAGTAAATGTGATTTTTTTTTTTTTGTCTTTTGCTATTGACTCAATTTTTTTGTGTACTTCTTCTTTTTCAGAGTTTGTACAAATGATGACAGCAAAGTGAAGACCTTGTACAGAATGTGTTAAATTTCTTGTACAAAATTGTTTATTTGCCTTTTCTTTGTTTGTAACTTATCTGTAAAAGGTTTCTCCCTACTGTCAAAAAAATATGCATGTATAGTAATTAGGACTTCATTCCTCCATGTTTTCTTCCCTTATCTTACTGTCATTGTCCTGAAACCTTATTTTAGAAAATTGATCAAGTAACATGTTGCATGTGGCTTACTCTGGATATATCTAAGCCCTTCTGCACATCTGAAGTTAGATGGAGTTGGTCAAATGAGGGAACATCTGGGTTATGCCTTTTTTTAAAGTAGTTTTCTTTAGGAACTGTCAGCATGTTGTTGTTGAAGTGTGGAGTTGTAACTCTGCGTGGACTATGGACAGTCAACAATATGTACTTAAAAGTTGCACTATTGCAAAACGGGTGTATTATCCAGGTACTCGTACACTATTTTTTTGTACTGCTGGTCCTGTACCAGAAACATTTTCTTTTATTGTTACTTGCTTTTTAAACTTTGTTTAGCCACTTAAAATCTGCTTATGGCACAATTTGCCTCAAAATCCATTCCAAGTTGTATATTTGTTTTCCAATAAAAAAATTACAATTTACCCAATGGTTGCTCTACATCTGAGTCATTTAACTGTTAAAGTCTAATAATTTTGAAAATAAAATATGGCATTGGTTTCTCCTTGGTATAATCTAGATAATTTTTTCTCGTGTGGGGAAGTGTATGGAGATGGGTGGCAGAAATAGTGAAGGTGGGAAAGGAAGGAGAAAAGGATTGGAAAAGTGAGAAAAGAGGGGGAGGGTAGCACAGAAAATAAGAGGAACAAAATAAGGAGTATGTAACTAAGGAGAGATGGAGGAGGAAGACCGAAAAGATGGGGATCTGTGGGGCTGGCTTAGTGTGGTCACTTTTTAGGGGCCGCCATCATGCATGCCCATTCCTCCACCACCATGCCTGTCATATTGTGCTACTGTGTTAGGCCCACAACACCTGTGGGTCCCCTCTGTGCCCACAGAACAAGATGGTGGCAGTCACGGGAAAAAAGGGGCAAGTTTTTTGTTTTGTTTCTTTATCCAGATTGTATTTGACAACTTCAAAAGGCTCAAATGAAAGACTCAAAAACTTAAGTGTACCTAGCATGGGAATTGGCATAAAGAAGGTATTTACTGTTTCCTACCTTTATATTTTTCAACTTTGGCATTTGTCCACGTTGACTTAAGCTGTGCAATGATGTTTTAAATGTTTGCATGTTTAAAAAAAAAACACCAAATCTAGTTGGGGTGAGCATCCTTACAGTTTTTACTTCTATTAGCTAATATTTTATTCATTATGCTTTTTAATTCTATAAGATGAGAATTTTCAGCTTGCCCATCTGTAACATTTTACAAAAAAGATGTCTTTAGGAGTAAATTGGCAATGATTACGCCAGTTTTAGTTTTTGCTGGCCTCTATCATTGCTTTCTCTATAATCTGAGCTACTCCAAAGGTGGTTATCAGGGTTTTTATTTTTTAAAAATACCTTTTAAATGCTTAATGAAAGATTCCATAGCAAACCAGAGCCAAGATTAAAACATTGAGTGTAATTGTTACCTGGTTATTATAGCCACAAGGTCTAATTTCCCAGGGGTAATTCATTATTTGGCAGGTTACTGCCCCATTGACTATTTTAATACTACTATTAGTGTGTTTTAGAGCAAGGGAAGTTATAGGCACCGATAGTCCTAATGGTATCACATGAAACTCAGGTAATCAGTTAAACAGGAAGATTTTAGATGTGTACTCCCCTTAATTGGATGTAGTAAGTTTTGTCGAAAGGAAATCCAAACAAGGTTGTTTTTTTTTTTGTAGAGACAGGGACTCATTATGTTGCCCAGGTTGGTCTTGAACTCCTGGGCTCAAGTGATCCTCCCACCTCATCCAAAGTGCTGGGATTATGAGTGGGGCTTTTTAAAAAGTTAAGTGAAATAATGAAAGGCACTTAGCATTGTCCTTGGCATTTGCATTAAGTGTTCCATTAATTATGCTATTAAACCAGTTATGACCCTGAAAAATGAGGGACTTGGGCAGTCAATTGGTGTTTTTCCAGTATCAACAATGAGGTTTATATAAATTGATATCAAGGTATATATAACAAGGACAACAAATGTAGGAGAAACATTTTTTGGGCTCTTGTATGTCATAATTGGTCACTTCTATTGTTGAAATCTTTACAAAAGTCATGAAGTCTTGGCATCTTGATTTTACAGGAAACAAGTGTAGAATGATTGTATAATTTAGCTGTGGTCATAATGAGCTGGGTTCAAATCTTAGTTCCAGTGCTTCCTACAACATAATCCTATTGTAATCCAATTTTATTAACCCCTTCTCTATAGACAAGGACTGTGATACCACCTTCAAGTTTTTTTTTTTTTGAGATGGACTCCCGCACTGTTGTCTGGGCTGGAGTGCAGTGGCACAATCTCAGCCCACTGCAGCTTCCTCCTCCCGGGTTGAAGCAATTCTGCGTCAGCCTCCCGAGTAGCTGGGATTACAGGTGCCTGCCAGTACACCCGGTTAATTTTTTGTATTTTCAGAAGAGACGGGGTTTTACTATGTTGGCCAGGCTGGTCTTGAACTCCTGACCTTGTGATCCGCCCACCTTGGCCTCCCAAAGTGCTGGGATTACAGGTGTGAGCCACTGCGCCCAGCCCCACCTTCAAGTTTAACCATACTATTAGTGTTATATTAATAGGATTGTGCTAATTGTACCAACCATAATACTGTCTGGCATGTTTGCTCTTAGATGATTCTCCCAATAAACCATCACTATTGCAGTTAAATGTGACCCTTGGTGTAACGTATTTTCCTAAAATTTTTAGAAGACGGCAACAATTTTAAAGATATACATAACAGGCACTGTTGAGCTCTTATAGATTTGTATTCTCAAGAGAAATGTCTCTCCCCCTTTCTGAAACTTAGGATAATCTGGAAATAAATCTTAGTGATACTATATAAGACAATGTTTTCTTAAAGGAACATTTTGTTTATCCTACATGCTTAATCTGCTTTTTGATAGTCCTTGAAGTCATTGACCCATGCTGTTTCTATTTTTGAGATATTTAAACTATTTTCTCATCTAGATGTTCCCATCTCTAATGTCACACCTTGTATGGGTTTCTGGACTTCTCTGTACCTTTCATATTCTTTTAGTCTCGAGGGTACCAGTCCCTAGTCTGCTGAGCCAGTTTTATAGGCTCAGCCAAAATAAGAAAATGAAATGAGGCACAGGGAATGGACTTGATTAATCTCTTAACATTTGTGAGAACTTTGGTATTGCCTCTTCGCTTTCTAATTTCAGTTGTTCATTATAAACCTAGTGCCTGTTAAGGCTATCTTAAATGAATTTAGAATCCCAGTATTTTAAGAAACTAGAAGTCCTCTAGTCTCTTGCTCCTCAAAAAGTCACCCATAGAATCACCCAGGAGCTTGTTGGAAAAGCAGAATCTTAGGTCCTGCCTCAGAATTGGAATCAATCTGCTTTTTAAACACGATCATCAGATATTTTGTATGCATATCAGTTTTTGAAAAGCATTGCTGTAATCTAGTCTTTGGTTTACTTAGAGGGGAAAACCAGTCAGTGGTTTATTCAACAAATATTTTAGTCCTTGTGTTCAAAGGGGTCAATTCAAAAACAACCCCGTGTTTTGGGTGTTTAAAATTAGAGGAGAAACGATTTGTCATGAAAGGAATCTTCCAACAATGATAGTCACGGGGTCCTTTGGGACTTGGCGGATTAGGCTTAGAGGTCTACTCAGAGAAGTTGACTCCTGAGATTTTCCAGGTGGTCAAAGAAAGGAATAGCATTTCATGCAGAAGAGCTAGCATATGTGGAGACAAACAGAAATGTGAAGATAGCATGTTTGGGGTTTTTGTAAGCATGATACAGCAGAGCATGCCATCCTAATAAGGGAGAGAAGTGGCCGGGCGTGGTGGCTGATGCCTGTAATCCCAATAATTTGGGGGGCTGAGGTGGGTGGATCGCGAGGTCAGGAGTTCAAGACCAGCCTGACCAATATGGTGAAACCCTGTCTCTACTAAAAATACAAAAATTTGCTGGGTGTGGTGGCGGGCGCCTGTAGTCCCAGCTACTCTGGAAGCCGAGGTTGCAGTGAGCTGAGATTGTACCACTGCACTCCAGCCTGGGCAACACAGTAAGACTTCGTTTCAAAAAAAAAAAGAGAAAAGTGAGAGATTGGATTGTAAATGTTGCTTTTGTCCTAAAGGTAATGACAACTCACATTTACTGACTGCATTGTGCCAGACATGGCTGTAAACATTTCAAGTTAATCTTCTTTATAACCTATGTGGATAGGTACCAATTTTATTAACCCCTTCTCTATAGACAAGGAAACAAGCACAGAATAAGTCAGCATATGCAACCAGCGTCCAAGTCCTGGTAGTCAAGGGAGGAGAGTGATTCAAGAATGAGGGATTAATCAATGCAGCAATGAAAATTGAAGGCCAAGTTTCATAAGAGCTGAAAATCCCCATTGGATTTGGCACTTGGATCACTGGTGAGTTTAAGTGCAATTTTAATTAAAAGTTGTGTGCAGGCCAGATTAAGATGTTTTTAGGAAAGTATGGGAAGTGAGAAAAGAGTCCATATTACTCTTGAAAGTTTGTAAAGGGAAGCAGAAACTTCGTGGTATAGGGCAGTGGAGCTCTAGAGTCAGGTTTGGATTTTAATTCTGGTTCTGCCATTTGTGTGTGATGCTGAGTGAACTGTGCTAAACGTCCAAGGAAACCTGTGTTTTCTCATCCAGAAAATGGGACTAATACCTACTTTGTAGGGTTGGTGTGAAGATTAAATAACGTGTGTGAAGTCCCTGGAATACAGTAGGTACTGTATAAAATGAAATTAAGGTTGCGGAGGGTGTTTTTTTAAAGGTGAGAATGTTCCTAGGTTAAAAAGAAGGTACAGCTTAGAGAGGCTGACAATAAAAAGGGTCTATACTGAGAAGAATGGGGTGGTCTGTGGTTTCACAGCTAGTGAAACCCGCTGTGTCTTGTGCTCACTCCACTCTGCAAGTCAGAGACAAGAGAAGTCAGCCCCAGAGTTTCTATTTGGAGGAGCTTAGAAACAACCTTAGAAAGTGGGTGCTAAGGCAGATTTCTGTAAGTATGCCTACCAAGCACACTGCCTCCCTGTCTGGGGTGTGTGATTGGGGGTGGACTGGAACGGAACTGATGAAGATTGTGGGTACGCTCAAGCCCTTAACAAGCCTCCCTTTTCACAGATCCTTACCCGAGGGCTCTCTGGCAACTCCAGAGCCCTCTAGATTTTCTTCTCACATGCGTTCGTAACCGTCTCTTTTCTAGGGTTTTCCTCTGCGCAGGTCTTCGCGCGGGACCTCAAAGTGCGTGCCCGCTTCCCTTCCCCCAGCACTAAAGATAAATCTGGCGGTCCCAGCGCGCGCGCGCGCGCGCGCGCGGAGCCCGCGGGCCACACCCGCCTCCTAGCAACCGGACGCCAGGCTCAGCCTAGGGAGAGAGGAGGCCACCATGGACCAGCCAGCCGTCACCACCGCCTCCACCACACCAAGGGAGGACCTGGTGCGTGGAGAATCGTTCATCACAGCCTCGGTAAGATCGTCTGCCCCTTGCCGGCCTGGCTCCTGCTCCCCTCACCAGGCCCGCTGCCCTTTTCCCACCGCTCTCTAATCCCAGGCCTTCGTGCCCTTCTGGTTCCCTCTTCCTACCCTTCTCTCCTTGCCCTCACGTACGTCTCCACCTGCGGACCTTCCTTCCTGGTCTTTACTGGACATTTCCTTTGTTTTATTTCTTTTCGCCTTGCTTCTTCCTTTTTTCTTCTCCTTCGCCCTTTGTTTTCGGTATTTTTCCCTTCTTCCCACTACTAATTAAACTGGACAACTGGTTTAGTATGGTGATTGGATTTCTTTCTCTCTCCGCTCCATCTGCTGGAAGACTGGGTTTTTCCTTCTGTGGTCTTACTAGACACGTTTTGCTCCGCCTCCTACTTTAGTATGTATAAAAATATTTGAAGCTACCTTTGCTACATTTTTCTTTTGGAGTCTCGATCTGTCACCCAGGCAGGAGTGCAGCGGTGTGATCTCGGCTGACTACAACCTCCACCTCCCGGGTTCAAGGGATTCTCCTGCCTCAGCCTCCCGCGTAGCTGGGCTTACAGGCGTGCACTGCCATGCCTGGCCTTTGTTACGTTTTTAAATAAATGTGGGTGAGGGTTGTTTAACCTAATCTTTTATCTTTCCCCTTAGAGTGAATTTAAAATGGTAGATAAGTGGAATTTAGATCACCTGTCTTGGGCAAAACAAAACAGCAGCTGCCAATTGTCTTCCATTAGATTGATCATGTTTATTTCCCTCTCCTTCCCATCTCATTTTCCTTATTCTGGGGTAGGGGTGGGAGACCTGTCTTGACCTGCCTGAGAAAGTTTAATTTCTGTGACTATGATAAAGTGCCACAGAGAAGATTCAACATAAATCTCAACGAAGAAGTATCAAGGAAGAAGCTCAGCTTTAGCAGTGTGCATGAGACAATGTTTTTTAGATAAATTCACATATATCATAATAAAATAAAACCCAGTGGTACTCATAAGTACAGTAGATTTAAGTTACTAGACAGGAAGAATGAATTATATCAGTTTTACTGATTAGATTATTACTTTTAATGCAGTCTTGCTTGACGACCTATATTTTATAGTAATAAAGGCATTATAAATAAAAGGGGAACTCAACATATTAATGATTTTACCTAGGACAAACAGCACAAAAGGAATATACTAAATGGTTGTGTTCTGTGGACAGTGGGCTGAAATAAATATGACATAATAATGGATGAATGGGTATACAGTACTAAATATGAAGACAACAGCTTCCTTGGAAACTGAGGAATACCAAAATAATCTGCTTCTTAACTTGGCAGATGAGATGTTAAAAATTAAAGCTACATTTATTGAGCACTGATTGTAGATGCAAGTCTTTATATGTACAATGTCTTACTCTTTTTTTTTTCCCCTGAGGTGGCTTCTCGCTTTGTCGCCCAGGCTGGAGTTGCAGTGACACGATCTCAGCCCACTGCAACCTGTGCCTCCCAAGTTCAAGTGATTTTCGTGCCTCAGCCTCCTGAGTAGGGATTACAGCCTTCTGAGTAGGGATTACAGGCATGTGCCAGCACGCCCAGCTAATTTTTTTGTATTTTTAGTACAGACAGGGTTTTACCATGTTGGCCAGGCTGGTCTTAAACTCCTGGCCTCAAGTGATCCACCCAAGTTGGCCTTCCAAAGTGCTGGGATTACAGGTGTGAGCCACTACATCTGGCATACAATGCTTTATTCTCATGGCAACTCTGGTAGTGCCTTAATTTTATACTACTGTGAGGAAGCATGAGAGTTGAGTAACTTACCCAGTGCACCTAGCTGGTAAGTGGCAGAGCTGAGTTCCAGCCTAAGTCTGTCTGGCTTCAAGCCCAACTCTTTTCTTCCTAAGAACACCACATTTCATCACATTTAATATATGTACAACATCTCTGTGAGATGCAAATGTTTATTACTCTAATTTTATCGAAGGGAATTTAGTTATTTGAAAGGACTTAAGATCATAAAATAACAATTTAAGGAAATATGGGCAAATTTATTATTATGTAGCTTTTATTTTAATGAAGGCTTGTCAGTTGGGTATGGGTGTGAATTTCTTCAAACAAATGTTTTATAACTTATATTTAATTTCAAGGGATCACCTCTCAAATGAATAAGCATACTTTGTGTTTGTTAATAGAAACCAGCCCGAAAGACTTCCTCTTTTGAAAGAGAAGGATGGTGGAGAATAGCATTAACAGTATGTACCTTGTTCAGTCTTTCCTATTCACATTATTCCTATTTCATTAATATTTTAATCCGTTATGCCTTTTAAGACTAACACTTAATTGTAAGAAAACAGTAATTGTTCAGACCTGCATGGACCTCATTTCATACTTAAAATTTTAGTGTCAGCATATGAATGAGAAACTAACTTAATTTTGAATGCAATAGAAGCTTGGAAAAGTTAAACAATTCTAGAAATCTAGGTGCTTTACAGAACATCTAGATAAGGCTAACCTATGATCTTATGATCTGGGTGAGATTGCAAAACAAAAAAAGCATGCATTCTGGAAAGGTGTTTTGGTTTCAGTTTTTATTTTATATGGTATAGACCTTATGCAAATGGTTCTTAATATGGTCAATATGATGTGAAAGCAAAATGGTAATATATGGAAGAAAAATGACCAGAAGATCCCCCTCTCCAGAGAATTTGTATATTACAGACATATTTTCTGTCAATGCCCTTCAATAATAGAGGGATTTCATGGGTCAAAGCCTTCTTGGAATTGCAGTAATTTTAATGGCAGAACTGAGCTGAGTGCTTAGTGGAAAGATGGCCACAAAAGCAGCAGTGACTAAACGTTCAGTTCTGGACATTCAGCCACACTGGTTGTAATTTGAAAGTACCAAACCTCTTATTGGACTAACTAGGCCATATGCTCTGCCAGTTTATCCTGGTCTCATGTCATTATCCTTTAGCTTCCCACTTGAGGGCTAGAGAGAAACATAGTATTGGCTAAACAGATGTAGGATAGTTTCTAGTTAGCCAAGAAACTATCCTGAGTGGTCTCACTAGAGGTCTGAGATTCATAGTCAAGGTTGAATCCCAAAGTTGAATCACCAAAGTTGCCTTCTAAAAAGTTAAATTTCGACCGGGCACGGTGGCTCATGCCTGTAATCCCAGCACTTTGGGAGGCCAATGCGGGCAGATCACGAGGTCAGGAGATCTAGACCATCCTAGCTAACATGGTGAAACCCTGTCTCTACTAAAAATATTTAAAAAAAAAAAGTTAAATTTCAACTCTAACCCATTTGCTATAATTCAGCAATTATTTCAGAAAGGAAATAATCATGATTTTGAAATACTCTTCTGTCAAGAGTGTTTACTGTATTTGATATAATTTCATTAAACTTGAAAACAAAGAGAAATGTTACCTGGGGGCTTCCCATCCAAGAGTGGTGTTTTAGGAGAAGTTACGTGTTTATAGAATCTTAAAACTGATGTCAATTTTCCACAGAATACTCCTATACCTGGCACTTACCACTTGAAAACTTTTATTGAAGAATCCCTGTTAAATCCAGTGATAACAACCTACAATTTTAAAAACGAAGGAAGGAAAAAACCACCTCTTGTGCAAAGGAACAATCCAGTCCTAAATGATCTTCCGCAGTATATGCCTCCTGACTTCCTGGACCTGTTAAAGAAGCAAGCGGCTACTTACTCATTCAAAGACAAACCACGGCCAAGCCCCAGCACACTAGTTGACAAAGATCAGGTAAAGCGCTACTAGCAGATTGCTTTGTGTGGGAAAGCTACTAAGAGCCCCTGAGGAAAGTATTTTTATACATAGAGTATATCTTCCCCCAGGAGAAATGGAAAACTTTTAAGATGTCTTATTTCCTATAGAAATCAAACAAGGACTGCCTGATTTGCAAATGTTTCCAGCAAGATTTTTCCCTGTAACGTCTTCTTAATCTAAGGGGAGTACATGGGGAGAAATGTTTCCCTCTTGGGCAACTCTTTGGTGGGATTCCCCTAGCCTGGAGAGCCCCTAGGATCTTATCTGTCACTGGGCTATGCTCTGATCTCTTCAAGCAGTATATGTGGTGAACCCTCTTCTTTTAAAGAGAAAACCCTGCCCCTCTGGGCATATCCTTATTAGAGCATAAATATAACTACACTCTACAGGGAAGCTTTTTAAAACTTAGAAATGACCCATCTCTACAAAAAATAAAGAAAAATAGCCAGGTGTAGTAGCACATGCCTGTGGTCCCAACTACTATGGAAGCTGAGGTAGGAGGATCACTTGAGCCCAGGAGTTGTTCATCAGCCTGGGCAATATAACAAGACCTCAGCTCTTTAAAAAAAAAAAAAAAAAAAAAAAAAAAATGAGCTACTTGGGAAGTCAGGGCAGGAGGATCCCTTGAGCCTGGGAGTTTGAGGCTGCAGTGAGCTATGATTATGCGACTGTACCCCAGCCTGGGTGACAGAGTGACATGCTGTCTCTAAAAATATTTTTTTTAATTAAAAAAAAAAAAAAGAAAAGTAGTGAGCACTGGTCCCAGGAGGGTCAGCTTCTAAGCTCCACCAGTTCGTTCGTAGCATTGATAATAAAGAGCACTACTGAGCTCACAGCCCTGCACTAGGCTCTGTGGAAGGAAGATGTTCCTGACCCGGAGGTATTTAGGCAACAACACAGGACAAAGTTTATCAAGTGCGCAGATGAATAGTGGAGCTGGAAATGCCAAAGGAGAGTTCAAGTGCCAAAGGAGGCTGGATTAAAAGGCTGGAAAGCTCCATGGCTTAAGTAGAACTTAACTGGACCTTCACTAATATATGTCTTTTATGTATTAGTGAAGAGCCATGTATAATACATGGCTCTTAATGGTTTACTACGGGCTTCCATGTATATTATCTTAATTGCTTCTTTCTTAAGCATTCTGAAATAGGTAGAACAGATATTAACTTCATTTTACATGCAAGAAAACTAAGGTGAGTAGAGACTAAGTAACTTGTCCAAAGGCACATTGCTAATACTTAAGTAGGTGAAGCAGCACTTTTTACTGAGGGCTTCTGCACCAAAATTTAGTCCTCTTTCCAGTCTACCATGTGCCCCTCACCTTGAATGAGGGGCAGGGTTTGGGTAGATGGAATCCAAAGGAGGTATTTCAAGGGAGGAGTATAGCATTGTTGAAGGCATGGAAATGTCAGGAACACGGTCTGTTCAAGGGATAGAGTTGTGACTTGGACTTCGTTAACTTGGGACTTTGGGTACTTGTCTCAGTTCTCTGTGCATAAATATTTCCCATTTATAAAGAAGCGAATAATAGTATCAATCTTCATAACTTCATCAGAATATTATTGTGATAACCTGAGAGAAATGTATTACAGCCAGAGGTTGAATTAAGTACAAAGGGTTGTAATTACTAAAGTGGACACAAACTTTTCAGCAGGATGAACACATGTCAAATCAAACCTTTCTACTACTTTGCAAATTATAGCTTTGAAACAGAACAGAATAAGTGTTCATTGGGTATATCTTACCCTGTTTGCTTCAGTGGTTGCATACAAACTGTAAATTATACTAGCACCTTTATGGCTTGCTACCAGGTAACCAGACTACGTGTGAAATTGTTCTGGTTATCTCAAATGCAGAGTCTTTCTTTCTTATTCTCTTCTGACATTTTCTTTTCTGCTTCCTCTCTTCTCACTTGTACAAGTCCCTGAAAATCAGCCAAAGGCCCAGTGTTGAAAGGAGAAAACATACAAGGTTGGAGTTACTCAAAACTAAAAATTTTAGAAGACCAAAAGAATTTGGCTTACTTAGGAGGATGGATAAAACCCCCTGAAAACATAGTTTTTCTGTTATTTTCTTCTTTCCTCTCCACCTTCTACAAAGGTTTAAACTCTAGAAACTGGAAAGATTCAGTGTTTTTCTAATTTTCTATTTCAAAGATATATATGTTCACAAGGAGAAAGATAAACATTGTTTATTCACCAGTAAAATTCAAAATTCTAATATTTTAGTAGCAGAACTCAGAATAATTTGAATTTGGGGTAGATATAGTATATATTATTATTCATTAAGCTAGAACAGCATTCTCAAATTTTATGATTTTTCACAGAATATTCATTTTATATCTTTCAGTGGCTGCTTTTTATTTGCAAGTAAGTTTTCACTATTTTTAGTATCTTTATTCTGAGGCATGTAACTCAACTCGAGAATCTACACTGAAGAGCCTTTGTATTTTTTTTTCAACTTTTATTTTAGATTCAGGTTTGAATCTATTTGAGATTCAGGTTTGAATGTGCAGGTTTGTTACCCGTGTATATTCCATGATGTTGAGGTTTGGGGTACGATCCCATCACCCAAGTGCTGAGTGGCTAACTATTAGTACCAAATAGTTAGTTTTTCAACCCTGTCACCCCTACTGAAGAGTCTTATTAAGCATATATATATATGGGCTATGTGCAGTGGCTCACACCTATAATCCCAGAACTTTGGGAGGCCAAGACAGGTGGATCACTTGAGGCCAGGAGTTCGAGACTAGCCTGGCCAGCAGGGTGAAACCCCATCTCTACTATAAGAAAAATTAAAAAATTAGCTGGGCAGTGTGGCACAGGCCTGTAATCCCAGCTACTTGGGAGGCTGAGGCACGAGAATTGCTTGAACCCTGGAGGTGGAGGGTACAGTGAGTTGAGATTGTGCCACTGCCCTCCAGCCTGCGCAACAGAGCAAGACCCTGTCTCAAAAAAAAAAAGGAATATATATATAGGTATTTGATTGTGTGTGTGTACATGCATATACTTTTCTATATTTGGCCCTTTTCAAAGAAGATTCGAGGTGGCTCCGTAATTTTTCTAATAACCTTTTTCTTAACAGATAAATAATATATTCACATTGTAGAATATATGTACACAAACGGGACCACCTTCTCCATATGTACAGTTTTATGACCTGCTTTTCTCACTAGTGTTGTAGTCCTCCACTGACCCCTGGGTTACTCCCCTTATTCCTTGATACTAGCCCCCTTCCCTCACTATCACTCTTTTCACTACTCATATAATAATTTCAACACACACGTAGATGATCTTTCAACAACCTGGCTTCTCAGTTTCTTGAACTTTCTGCTACCTCAGCCACTCACTCCTTAAATGTTTTTCAAGACCAAGAATTTCAACTCTACAATCTGTACATGAATCCCACTCTCTAATATACCAATCCTAACAATTTCTTCATTCCCCGCAGGCTACAATCCTAATCTACTGATTCTCCCACCTTTTCACTACGTCTCAACCCCCTTCTTCCTTGCAAAGCTCCAATCCCGTAGTTAATCATTATAGTTATTCCCTGCATACACTGTCAATTCCCTTGCCTCTAACTGCTCATCTTTTACTTGTTTGGCAAAGCCACAACCCTGGTTACGTCTCTCTTTGTATTAGTACCTGCATCCACGTAGCTGCATGACTGGTCTGATGCTAAATTCTTCACCTCTAATGGGCACTGAATGGACTTCTCTAGTCTGTTTACTTTTCCATTCTCTTGGGTGGTTTTATCTTGTATATCCTATTTATTTATTTATTTATAACACTGTCACCAAGGCTACAGTATAGTGGCACAATCATATCTCACTGCAGCCTCAATTCCCCAGGCTCAAGCTATCCTCCCCCTCAGCTTTCTGAATAGCTGGGACTACAGGCACGCACCAGCTACCATGCCTGGATAATTTTTTAAATTTTTAGAAGAGGCGGTCTCATTTTGTTGCCCAGGCTGGTCTCAAACTCCTGAGCTCCAGTGATCCTCCCGCCTCATCCCCGCAAAGTGCTGGGATTACAGGCATGAGTCACGCACCCAGCCACTCTCCCCTCTTTTCAAACCTCCTACGCTTCCTCCCCCATCCTCATTTTTGGTTTTTCTTCTCAGCCATTTTTTGCCATCTCTGCTCTTCCCTCATCTCCATCTTGGAGTGCCCCAGGCACTCAAACCTCTGCTCCATCTCTGCTCATTCCCTGAATGGTGATCTCATCCAGTCTCAGTCAAGGTTATGAACGCCATCTATTTGTTGGTGATTACCAAATTTATATCTGCCACCTAGATTTTTTTCTTGATTTCAAACTTGTATATCCAATTCTTTTTTTTTTTTTTCTTTCTGTAGAGATGGGGTCCCACTATGTTGCCCAGGCTGGTCTCAAACTCCTGGGCTCAAGCAGTCCTCCCTGCCTTGGCCTCCCAAAGTGCTGAGATGACAGGAGTGAGCCACTGTGGTCAATTCCCTTTTTGATTTATCTATCGGTATGTTTAATCCTGGGTTTGTGAAGCTTGGCACTGCTGACATTTTAGGCAGGATAAATCTTTGTTGTGATTGGGTGGTGGGGGGTACTGTTTTGTGCATTTTAGCACCTGGCCTCTACTCATTAAGTATCATTAGCAATCTACTCTTCCAGTTGTAACAACCAAAAATGTCTCTAGACATTGCCATGCTCCTGGTTCAGAACCACTAGGTTAAAGCAATATGATAGTGAGTGTGATCTCTGAGTGGTTTTTCGCAAGGCCAGCAGGGATATTGTGAACTGTCTTCATTCTTGACTTTGTCTTACTACTCCCTGTCACTCTCTTCCTGACCCACTTGTCCTTCTGGCTGTCTCTTGAACTTACCACTCACGGTCCAACCTCAAGGTATTTTCACTGTACCCTTTTTCTGGGATACTCTTATCCAAGATACCTGGATGGCCTACTCTCTGTCCTTCTTCAAGTCTTTGTTCAAGTGTCATGTT